GGTTTCAGGAGTACCAGATGGTCATTTTTATCACAGGAGGTTATTTTTATCATACGCGATGTTGCCTAAATGTAGTTGACTGACTCTCTTTATCAGGTTCCCAGAGGAAGGAGACACAAAGTTAAGTGAAGGTCAAGTTCACATGCAAAATGAGAAAAGGAGTTTGTCTGCCATTCCCACATTCACACAGGTAGTAAGAGGAGAGGAGGAGGAGTCTGGATGTGAACCAGACTCTGTGGCTCCAGGGTCACCAGTCTTAATCATTCTATTTTCCATCCTCACAAAACTGGTTGTCAAAGATTTCCCCAGCTCTGGTTACTGACAACTTCATGTCCCAGCGGGTCCCGGCAAGTCACCTGAGGAACACTGCGAGGTTCGGCTCAGTGCCACCTCCTGAGCGGTACAGAGCCACAGTGAGCTAGAGAATCCAGAAGTGTCACCAAATGTCACTACAACTGCCAAGATGCTTGATTACGAGAACTTTGGGGCTCATAGCAACTTCTAAACCCAAGCATACCTGCCTAACCTTTATGCCACACACATCCAGCCACTCGGAGATTCCATTCCTGAATCAAGGAGACACATTCCTGGAAAGAAGGGTGGGGTGGGGTGTGGGCAGGGAGAAGGATGAAAATGCCCCCTTCCTGCCCGTCACACTTCTCTCAGCCCCTGGTCCCAGTCTAATACAATAACGGGCAAGGGGACACTCCTAGCCACGCTCAGCTTCAGTGGTCATCTGCTCTCAGTATGGGGTCCAACTGGGATGAACAAGGCCAGTAGAATCCATAGGAAACAGAGGGAAATGATCCAAGAGGACTGGGAGCCAACCTCCAACCCCAAACACCATCACTTTTGTGACCCTGAGAAAGGCAGAGACATACAGTCCCAAGTAGGCTGACCCACGCTATTAAAGCTGAGGGGTTTCTCTCTCTGGGGCTCAATGGTTTAGAGGAATCTGTCCCAGAGTGTAGTCCGTGGTCTATCAGCACCACCTGGAAGCTTGTTAGAAATGCAAATTCCTGACCCCACCCCAGACCCACTGCTGTAGAAACTCTGTGAGTGGTGCTGGGAAATCTGTATTTGAACAAACCCCCCAGGTAATTCTGATAATGCTCAAGTTTCAGACCCAGTGGCTCAGCCAGACTAGTGGGATCTACCAATAGCCATCCCCCACTCCCCCCCAGGCTGGAGACTGAATCAGGGCTAAAGCTAGGAAGGGGTCAAGGGGAGAGGAGCAGGAGTTCACCCTGGAAGGCTGCTGCCATTCTTTTGAACCGTTTCTACAGTCCAACGCTAGAGGAATTAGGAGTTTTTGCACAGTTTCTGAATCAATCTTTAATCTAGGTGTCCCTCCCCATATTGTCAGAGGTTGCCAGACACAGTTAAACAGCACAAGTTCACTCCACTGTTCAAACCAAGGGGTTCGACGTCCACATTGAAGGGCGGGAATGAAACGCATGCTCTGCCCTTGGTGTGAATTTCCTTTGTACGGATAAAGGTTCCTGAGTGATATTCAGGTCTGATTATCCACAGCAAGGTAAGTCTGTCAGATCAGGACCACACTCTCTTCCCTGAAAGGCATGGTCATGGCTGGTATCAGTCACCTGGGAGAAGTCCCTGTCACTGAGGAGGTGGGATTTAGGAAGGAGGAAAGGATGTGTCATCACTTTCTCTTCTTTGTCAAACTGTTTTTCAAACTGTGGTCCAGAGACCACTGGCATTAGAAGGCTTTAGAGTTTAAAAATGCACATTCCTAGACTCCACCCTGAACCTACTAAATCTGATCCTCCTGGAATGGAGCTAGGAATCTGCAATTTTAAAATAACAACAACAACAACAACAAAAACAAACAAACAAACAAACAAACCTGGGCATTTCTTAGACTCACTAGAGTTCAGGAATAAATGGCCTTGGGAATACAGAAGATCAAAGACCAGGCCCATGCTCCCAGGTGCTGGGGTTAACATGGTGGCAGCTGGGATGGGAAGGGGCTTCGTGACCATGAGAATGACCCATAAGACCCCTACTTTAGAGGTCCTCAACCCTGCTGCAAACGAGAATCACCTGGAATGCTTTTTAAGAGCAAATGCCCGGGGCGCCTGGGTGGCGCAGTCCGTTGAGCGTCCGACTTCAGCCAGGTCACGATCTCGCGGTCCGGGAGTTCGAGCCCCGCGTCGGGCTCTGGGCTGATGGCTCAGAGCCTGGAGCCTGTTTCCGATTCTGTGTCTCCCTCTCTCTCTGCCCCTCCCCCGTTCATGCTCTGTCTCTCTCTGTCGCAAAAATAAATAAACGTTGGAAAAAAAAAAAAAAAAAAAGAGCAAATTCCCAGGCCCTCACCCAGACTTTCGGGAGTCTGAATGTCCAGAAGAAAGGCAAGGAAATCTAGGCACACACTCAAACAAACGCCCCAGGGGATTCTATCATCAGGCAAGCTTGGGAAACACTGATCCCAGATGCTATCTCCAGGTTCTGGATACTGTGTGTTCATTCCCCTTCTGTCCTTCCTTAACTTGTAGTAAACCCTCATTTTAAAGGGCCAGCCGGACCTCACCAAAGCTCCAGGGAATCATGAGAAGGCTATTATTCCCACTCTTAAGCAGGATCTTAGTGGGGGCCATAAGGCACCTATGGAGGTGGGGACAGTGGTAAAGCCCTTGAGAGCCCCAAGGGAAGGTGTCTTTGAAGCTCTGAGTTTGGGTGCCCCACACTGAAAGATTATTCAGAAGCATCGCTGAAGGCAAGGCTGGGAGATAACATGGAAAAGTAGTCCCTTTGAGGACATTCTCTAGAAGAGGAGCCTTTTCAACAACTTTTTTCAGCATGGCAGTTGTTACGCCATTGATGATGATAATAAGACAGCAGAGGAGGCCATGTGAAAGCAAGGCCTAGGGACCCAAGGAGAAGGTAGCCAAAGAAAGGTTCTTTTCTTCACTCCCACCACACCCTCTGTTGATACACATCTGAAGACCCACCCTGACCCCAGACTCTGGCAGATCTGTGGAGAATCTGGTTCCAGCCCTGCGTCTTCCGCATTGCCAACCTTGGAGAAGGGATTTCTCCCCTTTACTAGAGGAGGACACGGTCTCTTATTCCTGTGATATTTCAGCAAGATCAAACATGACCCCATCTCTGCTCCCCTCCCCTCTAAGTTGGGCTGCCAGATTTAGAAAAAACAAAAACAAGGGTGCCTGGGTGGTTCAATCGGTTGAGCATCTGTCTGCCTCTTGGTTTCAGCTCAGGTCATATCTTGTGGTTCCTGGGATCAAGCCCACAGTCGGGCTCTGCACTGGAGCCAGCTTGGGATTCCCTCTCTCTGCCCCTCCCCTGCTTGCACTCTTTCTCTCTCAAAACAAATTAACATTTAAAAAAACACAATACATCCAAATACATTTGAATTTCAGATAACAATTTTTTTAGCATAAATATGTCCCAAATACTGAATGAGACCTGTTTATGTTTATGCTGAAAAGAATGTGCTGTTTATCTGAAATTCAAATTTAGCCGGATAGCCTTTATTTTATCTCTCAAACTTCCCTCTAAGGGTCTGACCAGAGGCCTACAGGAAAAAGCCCCTGGAA